ACCACACTCAGCCAGTGAGCGAACCGGCCATCCCTATATGGGACCCGAACCCGGGGCCTTGGTGTTATCAGCACCGCACTCTCCCGAGTGAGCCACGGGCCAGCCCTGCATAATCAATTATGATTCAATTTAAAAAAAGGGAAAAAAAAGATTAAAAATGCACACATGTGTAAGTGTTCACATAGCAGTAGCAATGGTTGAAGATCCTCTTTTTCTTTAAGATTTGAGCAAAGAGCCTTCTGAAAAGAACTCTAAAAATCACTACCTCAGAAGCAAAAGTTGCTACTAAATACCACAGAGCCAAACCCAGGGTGAAAATCTAAACACTCAGAAAAGAGCAAAAGGTTGTATCTTTAAACCTATCGATTGTGGGCGGATGGATGGATAGACATAAAGCACTTACCCAAGTCCATCTACTGTTCATTATGAGGCATTTTTGCTAGATTTGCAACTGTAGGATTTGAAGTATGTGCCCAGAAGATACAACTACGTATTGTCAGCACCACACTCAGCCAGTGAGCGAACCGGCCATCCCTATATGGGATCCGAACCCGTGGCCTTGGTGTTATCAGCACCGCACTCTCCCGAGTGAGCCACAGGCCGGCCCCTTACAACTACGTATTGAAGGGGGAAAAAAAACCCTAAAACTTTATTTTTGTATAGGCCCTCACAGTTTTCTTCTTTTTTGAAATTATTACTTGCTGTGATCACAGAGTAAGCTGTACACTATTATGTATCCAGGTGTGGTCTTACCCTTCGCGTTGGCCCATTCTCTGTGCTTGGTTCCTCTGGCTTTCCAAATACATAGCCTCTGCCTGCAGGTCCTGCACTGACCAGGGCTGAGTCCAAAGGTTTAGGAGCTTGTGGCCAACAGCCTGGCATCCGAACACATTGAGATGGGTAGACAGGAGAAGGGCCCCTAAATGGCGGTCGGATGGGATCCATCGAAAGGCTGTAGAGGACACAGGTGCTGATCCTGTTCTGATTAACTACCTGCCAGCATTTTTAAAAGATTAAAGATTCAGAATTGTTTTCTTTTTCCTTCAAGACAAACTCACAAAGCATTAAAAAATTACTTTGAGTCAGACCAGTGATACCATCTTCTATAACACGCTCACTTTAAAAGCTTCTATGTGAGCCTGTAATATTCTAAACACCCTCCATCAGCAATCCCGCAGAGGTCCAAGCTCTCCTTGAACTTACATATATTTTCTACTGAAACAGCCTCTGAGAGAACTCAGTCCTATAAGTTAACTGCCGGTTATAGAAGAAAGCAATTTTCATGTTATGAATGTGATTTTGGTTTATAAACACATTTACAGTGAACATAACCATATCATAAAATTATACTGTCTAGTTGGTTAAAGTGCAGTGTTACAATACCAAGATCAAGGGTTTGGATCCCTATAGCGGCCAGCCATCAAAAAAAAAAAAAAAAAAAGAGAGAGAGAGATAAAATTATACTGTCAGTAAATATTTATGGGTTTGCTTTGTTATTGGCTTCTCTTTTTTATGTCAGAGTCCTAATTTTCTCCCAGTCTAGAATCACATTAAACTCATCTCCTTGTTCTCTTCAGTTGCTTCTCTGAATCTTTATCCAATTCCTTTAAAACTCTTCTTTCAAACTTTACCAGAACTGAGGTCTCTAGGGTACAGAGCCTTCCTACTTTGAGCCTACAATACCTGGTGAATCTCACAGGTCACATTTAACATCCTTTTTTCCCCCAGGAAACGAGGGATGAGACTCTCTCCCTCACTTCCCTAATCTAAGGTCCACCAGGCCTCTTCAAAATCACTTTATAAACTATAGATTTCAGGACTCCCTCTTTATGGAGCGCCTTTCATTGTCCTGATTTGCCTCTGATCCCTGAAGAATCTTTCTTAACTGGAAAGTAATAAGCCTCTTAACTTTTGAAAACCTGTCTTAAGTATTAGCTACAGAGTAGGGAAATCAGGCCATGCATAAAAAGACCAGCACATAATTCCTAAGTCAACAGTATGGGTGGAAATAGTTCAAGAACCTGCAAAACTTTCTAAATTAAACTACCGTCTTTTACACTATAAAGGTAGGATTAAGTTTTCCCCTTTAATTGCTACAGCCCCCTTTTTCAGTTAGCTGGTACTCTGTTCACACCTCCCCAACACCACCCGAAGAATCCAGAACAATCAGTCGCCTAACTGGTACATACTGAGAGGTGCTGTAACACCTACCAATTACAGGATTTCTGGAATCCTCTTTCTCCACCCTTCCTTCAACCCCATCATGACTTCTATAGATGCAGGTACCTCCTCCAGAAAGCCCTCCCTTAACATAGATGTCCTCCTTTGAACAGTTAGCACATACCTGGCTGACTTAAAGGAGTGGGCAGGGTCCCAGGGCAGGCTAGGCCTCCTCCTCCTCCTCCTCTCCCAGTGCGCGCTCTGCGCTGGGGCACCAGGACCGGGGCCTAACCCGAAGCCAGGAGCCTGAAGGCAAGTCCCACCCTCTCCACCCGAGAAAAGTACCTTTCCCCAAACTCACAGCTCTCCTACGGGCCTGCCCACTGTTTCCGCCCAAATAACACGCCCACCCCCACCCTCCTAGGGCCTCAACCTTCCCACCTTTTCGAGGTCCTGCGTTCCTCCCACACCCCCAGCCTCAAATAACGACTTCCTGCCCCCGCCCCACCCAAGCGCCCACAGCAACTTGCGCCCCTTCTTTGGGCAGGGTGGTGAGGGGGGCGGACCGGGGGGAGCCGGGAGGGCCGCCTCACCACTCTGTGCCTGAGCAAAAGCCCACCCCCGCCTGCACCAGACCGGCTCTGGCTGTCCAGGTTTGAGCCCCGTCCTCACACCTGGGCGGGGAACTTGGTCCGGCTCTGCTAGGCCTGAAGAGAACAACTCGCTCAACCCTCAGGCCCACAAAGGACTCACATGCTCCAGGCTCCAACTTCCGGCCCAGGGGGGCGGGGGCCTGAGCCCACTGGCCAAACGACGTGGCACTCACAAGATCCAGGCTTTTCATTGGCTCGTTTGCAAAAAAGAGACTCGCCTTGTCCGGCGGCCTCGCTCTACAGAGTTCATCCCGAGGAGGTGTTAGAAGCTGTAAGTGAACGTGTGCGTTACGTTTTTGAGATCTTGACTCCCTTCCTGCGGGCAACTCCTGTAAACAGGTTCGGCTTATACGCTCATGTTGACGTTGACTTGCCCCATCCCTCCCGCTTAGAGGATATAGGCATATAGGTGGTAAACAGGAAACATTAAGTTTGAATTCGCATTTAAACACCTAATTATGGAATGTCTGCACATCACTTTCCTTACATATAAAATAGGGATAAAAGCATCCATTCATGGGGTCGTAGGGAAATGTACAAACATTAATGAGATAATGTATGTAAAATACTTAGCACAAGGAGAAAATGACCCGCAATAAATGTTGCTTTTTATTATTGATTGATGTCTAAATCTGTGAGCCAAGAAGAGTTTTCATCAAACTATATAAAATTATTAGCGGTTAATCCTCCAATTACAGAATATTTTCACCCAAAGGAAGATTTCTCTCCCTTTCCCAACCATTCTGGCAAATAACCCCAGGTTTTATGAGGTGGTTGGGGTCAAGTTTCTGGAAGCTTTGGCTGATGCTGTAGAGATGTCCAAATAGGACTAGAGAAGGATCGACCTTACCTTTCCCAGGATATCCCATGCCTTATTTTAATCCATACATTCAAGGACTGTCCTCTCCTTCCTGAATGAGTATAGAATCTGAAAACAATTGGAGCAGGGTGATTTCCAAGGGAGGAATCTAATTGGCAGTATGCCCCTTCGCTGACTAGGACTGTCCTCTCCTTCCTGAATGAGTATAGAATCTGAAAACAATTGGAGCAGGGTGATTTGCAAGGGAGGAATCTAATTGGCAGTATGCCCCTTCGCTGACTGTAGACATTGTTTAACATAATAGTTCAAACATTGTAACTTCCTCTACTGCACAACCATCATAACTTAAAATTTTACGGTGTTATGTTACAGACAGAATTCTCTACTGCCTACGCAAACATTTAGATGCAAGTGCACTCAACATCAGTTATACAAACTGTTCTGTAACCTTGATGAAATCCCAGCTCCCTGTCCTTTTAGGAATTCCAACCAAACCTTGCATCAAAAATTCATCTGACACACATGAAAAAGTATTTTAGTGGCAGGATCAGCAAATCTTCTAGTTGAAGTAACACAACAGTAATTCTCACATGATTTTCTGAACAAGTCTGTTTTGGAATCGAAACCAAGACCACCATATAAGGGTATACATATTGGGTTCCCTAGATTTCTATATCCTGTTCATGCAAGAGTAGGCGACATCTGTACAGTATTTCTAGCCAATCCATATGTCATGAATATTACTTATCTCACTAAAGGAAAATCCATATAGTCTCAGTGTTGATTTGAGATAAAGATGGCTGAAACTTTTTGAAACACAGGCATCTGTTTGAATCTTTCAAAAGCTAATCAACCTCTCCTGGAGTTTATATTCCCTATCAGGGTGCATCAATTGTTAATTAACCATCCCTAAGATATCAATAAAAACAGAACACACAATATTTTCACCATAAAAAAATAATAAGTATGTGAGGTGGTGGATATGTTTAATTAGTTTGCTTTAATCATTCCACAGTGTGAAAATATATCAAAACATCACATTGTACTCCATAAATATATACAATTATTTGTCATTAAAAAGAAAAGAGGGGTTGGCTGGTTAGCTCAGATGGTTGGAGCATGGTGTTATAACACCAAGGTCAAAAGTTTGGATCCCCACACTGCAGCCACCAAAAAAAAAAAAAAAGAAGAAGAAAGAAAAATAACACACACATATCACTATCTAAGATAAAGTTTTTTTTTTTTTTTTAAAAAAGATGACCGGTAAGGGGATCTTAACCCTTGACTTGGTGTTGTCAGCACCACGCTCACCCAGTGAGCA